GGGGGGTCCCTGGTTGCACCCACTGCAGGGACCCATTGCCCCCAGAGTGGGGGTCTGGGGGTGCAGGGACTGCCACCATCCCCCCCCACCAGAGGTGTATGATCCCCCCAATCCCTGGAGGATCCCTTTGCTGCCCCCCAACACAGTGGGCATCCCCAAGGCTGTGGGTAACACTAGGGGGGCACAGTGGGTAACACTAGAGGGGTGTGGGGATACCCCCACCTGCTCCTGCCCCGGGGGCACAACTCAGCAGTGCCAGGCTCCTCTGGATGTGCCATCTTGGCACCGGGGCCGCTCCCGGGGCCGGCCAGCTGGGAATGCTGCGGGCACCGGCTTCTGCTTGCCCCCGTTTCCCCCCCGGTGGGGGTCACGGTGCCATGCTGGGTGCCCCACTGCGGGATCTGGGCATGCAGCAGCACAAGGATGGGGTGCCCAGCGCCACTGCCAGCCCCCCCCAAAGCCAGCTGGGGTGACCTGCTCCCAATTCCTGTCCTGTGGCAGGGACGGGGACTGGGGTCACCTTCCCCGCCCCACCCAGGGTCCCAATCCTTGTGGAAGCACCTCCTGTCATCACCTGGGGATTTGGGACTCCAGCAGCACCCCTGGGTGCTGATCCAGCTGCCATAAATGAGAGGAAGGGGCTTTTCAGGGATCAGGTGGATGATCCCTGGATCCTTGTCTCCTCCCTCCATCCTGTGCTCCCCATGGAAGGGGTTAAGCCCAGGCTGGGCCCTGGGCCAGGCCGGTGTCACCCTGACACTGTGGGTTGTCACAGAGGCTCGGGCTGGGCTGTGCTGCTGGAGAGACACCGTTACCCGCTGGTGGGGGGCACAGGGCGACAGCTTGGGGTGACCCACAGTGGGTCCACAGCTCCAGGAGTGCTGGGAAAAGGGAGTGTCCCCATCCTGGTGCCAGCTCAGGAACTGGGCTGAGACCCTGCAACTCACCTCACCCCCGGGGCTGCTGCTTCACTGGAGGGGTTTGAACACCCCAGGAGCAACCCCCCAGGGTGGGTGGGACCCCCAAGAGTGGGGCTGACCTCACAAACCCCCCTCCCCTGCGCAGGTCCGGCTCCAGTGATCCCTACTGCGTGGTCCAGGTGGGCAATGAGGTGGTGGCCAGGTATGGGGACACTGTCCCACCCTGGGAGGGGACGTGTGGGGGAAGGGGCAGCCACCTCTCCCCTCCCCAGCAGGACAGCCACAGTGTGGAAGTGCCTGAACCCTTTTTGGGGGAAGAATTCACCCTGTGCCTGAGGAGAGGATGGGGACGGGGTGACACAGGGCTTGTCCTCCCTTCTCCACACCAGGAAGGGCCCTCGCTGTGTCCAGCTTGGGGACAGCAGTGATGCCAACTCATGTGTGACAATGCTATGGGGGCTCAGTGGGGAATATGGTGCCAGCCCTGCTTGGGGACAGGGGGACGAGGGGCAGAGCTGGTGGCACAGAGGGCCACGGGGTACCTGGGGTCAGTCCCCATCAGACTGCTTGGCTCCCACGCTGGGTTTGGCTTCAAAATTGGGGGAATTCTCCCTTTGGCTTGAAAACTGGGGGAAACTGAGGCCTGGCCCAGGCTGCCCCTCTGCTTTTGGGGTGCACATGTGTGTGCACATGTGTGCATATGTGTGAGTGTACCCACACACACACACACACACATACAGAGGGTCACACACACACAGCTGACAGATGGAGCAGGCAGCAGAGCCAGCATCCCGCTGCCATGGCAACTGAAGCGGCTACCAAGGCAACGGGATGGCCACGGGGACAGCATGGCCGTGGGGACAGATTGGGGGGGACAGCAGAGCCCCCCCAGCTGGGCCATTTGGCCCCCAGGGACTGGAGGGGGAAAGGGTTCCCCTGGAAACAGGGACAACACTCTCCCCAGCATCCCCCGGCACCCCCTGGATGCTCCTGGATATACCCGGGCAAGCTGGGAAAAAAGGGGGGGCATGGGGGTACAGGGACATTCCGGCAGGGATGTGCCCCCTGCCCACTGCACCCCCGCTGACCCCCATCTCCCCACAGGGGTCTGGCCCCGCGGGACCCCTCGGGCACCTCGGAGCCCTTTGCCCTGGGGGTCGTGCTGTGGGCACACGCTGGGCACAGCCGTGAGCCAGGGGGTGGGAGCTGGCACCCGGAGCCTCGGGCACCTCTGCCCCCCACGGCCACCGGTCCCTGTGCCCAGCGGGTGGTTGAGAAAACCCTTTCCCGTGCTGGGATGAGGGGCTGGAGTTGGAGCTGCCGGAAGGAGAAGCTGTGCTGAGTGTGGAGGGGTGGGGCTGGGACATCGTGGGCAAGAATGACTTCCCGGGACGGGGGCAAGAACGACTTCCCGGGATGGGTGAGGACCCTCGGGGCACCCCAGCACCGGGCAGGGTCCTGGGGGCACCCCTGCACCCCCATCCCCTGTGCGTGGAGCGGGCACAGCTCAGGATCCACAGGGTTGGGGCAGTGCCACATCCACGCCCTACGTGTCCTGGGCTCTGCCCGCACCGAGGTCCGGTGAGCACGGGGTGCTGGCACTTGACCCCCCCCCCAGCCCCTGCCTCTGGCCCCCCAGGGCGAGTTCCCCTTGGGCACCATCAGGGGCTGGTTCCAGCTCCTGCCCTCGCCCAGCACCAGCCAGGACCACGGGTGAGTGATGGGACAGGCAGAGGGGACAGGCAGTGGGGACAGGCAGCTGCTCCCAGGGCAGCACAAGAGGCACCCTATGGAGGGCGGTGGGCACAGGACCCACCCAAACCCCTCCGTGCCATCGCAGGGGGCAGCTGGGTGCCCTGGAACTGATGGTGAGGCTGGAGGAGGACACAGTCCTGCCCCCCCCCTCCACTGCCGGCTCCTCATCCAGCTCCTCACCCAGCCCATCCTCTGCCCGGACCAGGTGGGTGCTGCAGGATGGGGGGACCCCCGGGGATGCCTGAGGACCCCAACCCAGCACGGGGGCCTTGCCGTGCCCGCCCTGCCCTCCCCTCAGCCCCCCAGTGGCACAACCCTGGTCATCCTGGAGGAGGTGATCTTGGGGGAGAGCCGGCAGGACGTGGCCACCAAGCTGGTGAGTGGCAAGGGCTGGCTGTGCCTGTCCTGGACTGTGTCACCACCCAGGAGTTGGCCAGGACCAGTAAGTGCCAGGGCTGGGGCACCACTTGCACCCCGAGAAACCCCAAGCCAGGGCCTCCCCAGGCCTATGTGGGGAGAGAGTGGGGCCACCAAGGTGGAGCAGGAAAAGTGCCACATGTCCTTGGGGTTGGGCACACCGGGGACAGCTGGGGCATCACCCTGTGCCCACCTTGCCACCCTGTTCCAGCTGATCCCAACACCCTGTTCTGCTCCAACTCAACGGGCTCCAAGTCCACGGAGCAGTTCATGAGGGTGAGCGTGGGAGGGGGCACTGGCCCAGTCCCCACTGTGCTCCCCACGATGCCATCGGGGTGCAGAGCTGGGTCATGTCCCAGCAGGATGTTTGGGGACACATTTGGTGTCCCTGTGCCTTGCAGGCTGTGGGGCTGCCCTGCCTGCACGAGGTCCTGAAGCCCGTGGTGAGCCAGGTCCTTGAGGAGGAGAAGCATGTGGAGCTGGAGCCTGGCAGGATGGGGCTGAGCTGGGCCAGGTGGGCACAGGGGGGACAGGAGGGGGTGGAGTCACCACCCCTGGGGGTGTTTAGGGACAGACCAGATGTGGCACTGAGTGTCATGGTCTGGGTGACACGGCGGGGTTGGGTCACAGGGTGGACTCGCTGGTCTCAGAGGCCTTTTCCAGCCTGGTTGATCCCGGGATTCTGTGTGACTTTGGGGGCAGATGTGGCACCTGGCACCCTTGTCATCCCTTTGTCCCCTGCAGGGGGGTCACCCGTTGCTGCTGAGCCCGTGGGTCACCTCCGTGGTTTTTGGCAGGTCCCAGGGACATGGGGATACAGGGATACAGGAACACAGACATGGGGACACAGGGACACGGGGACACACAGACACAGGCACATATGGAAATGGGGACGCATAGACACAGGGACATATGGACATGGGGACACACAGACATAGGGACACATGAATATGGGGACACAGACATGGGGACACACGGACATGGCGACACATGGACTCGGGGACATACAGACACAGGGACGTATGGAACTGGGGACACACAGACACAGGGACACATGAACACAGGGACACATGAACACGGGGACACACAGACATGGGGACACAGGGACACGGGAACACAGACACAGGGACACAGACAGGGACACACAGACACAGGAACATGGGGACACAGGGACACACAGATACAGAGACACAGAGACACATGGACATGGGGACACACGGACCCGGGGACATACAGACACGGGGACACATGGACTCGGGGACACAGGGTCATGGAGACAGACATGGAAACACAGGGACATGGGGACACAGACACAGGGACACACGGACATGGGGGCACATGGACTCGGGGACACAGACACGGTGACATCAGTCACAGGGACATATGGAAGCGGGGACACACGGACACGGGGACACAGAGACACAGGGACATGGGGATGCACAGACACAGGGACACACGGACACAGGGACACGGGGACACATGGACACAGGGACATGGACATGAGGACACGGGGACACAGGGACATGGCGCTGCGCAGTCATGGGGACACAGACACGGGGACACATGGACATGGGGACACACAGACACGTGAATAGGGGGACACAGAGAGAGGGACAAGGGGACACAGACACATGAACAGGGGGACACAGACACGGAGACATGGGGACGCACAGACACAGGGACAAGGGGACACAGAGACACATGAACAGGGGGACACACAGACCCAGGGGGACACCCCCACAGTCTCACAGCGCCTGTCCATGTCCATGGGGTGGGAGGTGTGGGGTGGGGGCACAGGGTGGGATGGGGGTGGTCCGTGGGGTCGTGTCAGGGGGAGGGGACAAATGTAGGTGCTGGGGGTACCACGGGTGGGTGCTGGGGGGGCTGTGTGGGGG